TTTGATGGTAAAATCGTTTATCATTATAGTTGTGATTTTCATTTAGAATTTACATTTGAATTTCCACGTTGCTGATTACGGAATTGGTTTATTTTAATGTTTACATGTGGAAACAGAAATAAATAATTTTTATTACTAAGTTAAAATTTATATTTCCAGATGTATAAACTCTGTAATTTTAGATAACGATGAAAAACTGCTCTAGATGAAAAAGCATTCTAGCAGATATCTTTTATGAAATAACATTTATAAATCTTTTGCTCGGAAAATAATTCTCATTGTCTCACTGAATGCATGTTTATAATTTCCAAAAAAGAAAAAAAATAATGGGCAAAGAGTTTCTATGCTTTGTACATATACCAAAGATAAATCACGAGTTCTCATAAACCAATTTTTATTCTTTTTGCTGCTCAAAATCAAAATCGTTATCTACACGCCTTCACGTCGTTGAGACAGGCTTTCATTTTTCATTCAGGTTCCAGGAAAATTTAGAAGGCGAAATAAGACTACTCACTTTTTATTTCCATATTTTTTTTCCTTCCACTATGTAGTAAGTTTCGTAGAAAACTGACTGTTAACAAAGAAGAGAATATTCTGTTGACAAAAGATGGATTATACTAGGTTCGCGTAATCTGTAGGTTAAAAAATGAGAGGACAACCTTAGGAAATTACAAAGGAGATAAGATGTATCAGATACTTGAGGTTTTCGAGGTTCTGCAAATTACTTTTAACATTGAACTTTCCTGACATCAATTAAATTCTTCTGAATGAATTTAACAGTGATCTATGGAAAGTTTGTTTACTACATTAATATTTTTTTTGCTATAACGATAAACGTATTTATATACGAAAAAATTACCTTTAGTTTTATAACTTTTTAAATCAATATACCAAGTTATGTATTTTATATTAATAAACTAAACTTAATCAAAGTTTTCACTCTAAATTTTATTTTATATAAATGCCTTCAAGATATATCCTCTTCTTTTATCTGACAGAAGTTGAATTATATTTTCAGACAAAATTCATTTGCATATTTAATATAGATATGCAGAACAACGAAATTTTTCATAATTACATCTTTGAATTATTAAATACGACAAATCATGCCAAGTTTTCAAACCAGTTATCATATACATAACTTAAAAATTAAATAAGAATATTTATTAAAATTTAAAAAAGTTAAATTTATACTACAATAATTCCTTTCATAAATTTTCGATTTCTAATTTAAAAAAACTCATAATTTTCTACTTAATTTCTGATGTAAATAATTGAATATAATGTTGGATTATAAGCGTCAAACAATTGTATATCAAAAAATATAGTTTTTAAGAAACGAAACGTGTTTATAAGATATTTTAAAAGTTGTCAATATAAGTACTTATATGTTGTTTATCAGAGACACCTGCAAACGTCGTGCCGAGAATCATTCAAGAGGTATCAACTACAGAAACGAGTGATGGATATACAGCAAGAATACCATGTGTAGCTCATGGTAAAGTTCCAATCTCATATAACTGGTTCAGAAATGTCGGAGGTCAGTTGACATTGGTAGATGTCCAAAAAGGTTTAGAAATAACTGACGGGACACTTGTCATTCTCAAAGCAACGTTACTTGATAGTGGTAAATATATTTGTGTTGCCAATAACAGCTTAGGCGAAGATAGAGTTGAGAGGACTCTTGTTGTACGCGGTAAGTTCTCCTATATATATATATATATTTATATAAGAAAAACATTTCGAAAATTAAGCAAATAAACTAATAAACAGTTTTAAATGATATTTTAGGATCTCTAAAGGTAACAATTGAAAGCACAAGGAGAATTGTTAGATCAGGTGAAGACATCGTACTTAACTGTAATGTGAGCGGAAGCCCTATCATTTCCGTATCCTGGTTGAAAGACCAACACCATTTAGTCAGTGACCACAGAATAAGGTTATCTACTGCCACGACTTTACACATTGCTGCTTTCCAGAGAAAAGACAGTGGAATTTATCAATGTTATGTGGAAAACGATTGGGAAAGTGCCCAAGCGGCTATCCAGTTGGATTTACAAGGTACAAACTATTACTCTTCATAAAATTGTGAGATTTTGTAAATAAGTTAGCTTCAGTATTGACAATAAATGCTGCAGTTTTATCATCTTAATTAAAATATTTAATAGCTTATTAAAACTAGTAATTATATATAAGTTATATATATGTTTTTTATTAGAAGTATTAAATTCTTACGATGTAGAATATCAAATTTAATATAGCCTAATCTTTGTTTAAGAATTGTCTTAAACATACTTAACAAAAAAAATAATTATACTTGTTTTCAATGTTTATATGTTAAATGTAGATTTCTTAATTAAATTTTAATTGCATTTAATTATCTTAAACATAAGAATATTAATTGCGTAAAGAAGTAGAGTAGAAAGAGTTTTACTGTTTGTTTAAAAATTAGAGAGACGTGTAAACAAGAATGCAAAAAAAGTCTGTTTTCAATCAATCTATTGGATATTTTTAAGGTATATTGACTTAGTTTCTGTTCACGAAAAACACTCTCAAGAACTAACAGAAAAACGAGCTTATAAAATTCATTAAAGGTGGACTGTTTTTTTTTGGTTTTAGATAATTTTTGAACCATTATGACAATTTTATTATATGAGTCATTGATTTTCGTATTCTAAAAAATGTAATTGAACACAGTGAATTTTATGAAACTCATCCTGACTGAGATGCTGTTATTATTCCTTCTATAATTTTACTTTAAGTCTGCAACATTAGAAATATTTCTAAGTTATTTAATTATTATTCAAACTTTATAAATTTTTTATTATATGAGTCATTGATTTTCGTATTCTAAAAAATGTAATTGAACACAGTGAATTTTATGAAACTCATCCTGACTGAGATGCTGTTATTATTCCTTCTATAATTTTACTTTAAGTCTGCAACATTAGAAATATTTCTAAGTTATTTAATTATTATTCAAACTTTATAAATTTTAATACAAATATACTGTATTACACATACGTAGAATATAATTACAATGAAAAGGTTATCATACTTTCATTGTAATTATATTTTATATATGTGTAATGAAGTATATTCGTATTAAATAGCTTTTAAAAAGGGATTAAATGCTTATTTTTAATTGTTAATTTATAAATTTTGCTATCTTATATATATTATTCTTAACTTCTGTTTGTATTTATACAAAATTAAAAATATTTACATTTTATTTAAAGTTAAATATGTTTGAATTTACACTAATTAGTGATATGTATTATTCCATTATATTAACTATTCAGAATTGCTGTACTATGTATAGTTGATTAATAACAAGCTTTATTGTATAATTATCAATTTAATTAATCAATTTTACATATTGAAATATTTCTCAGAATTATTTATTACTTCTATCTTATTCAGAATTCTTCTTTAATTCAAAATGAAATATTTCTCACGTTATAAGCTCTATTTATTGTATAAATAATGGTGGTAACAAGTCCAATCACCATACTATCTTGGTCACTGATGGTCAGATATTGCCGAATCATCGATAAGAACATGCTTCTAATGATGGTTTATTTTTGGTAGTTTGTTCGTAACCTTTTATTTTTTGTCTGAATAATATATATTTTTTTTCTTGAGAAGAAAAATCACTTGAAAGAAGAATGTATATTTTTATATAAATGTTTACATATCTAATTTTATTTTATGAAAAAATAGTTAATTTTTATTAACTTAGAACATAACGATTTGCCATAAACACATCTTCTTTATTTTTTAACTTTATTTTCAATAAACAGCGCTTTTATACAAAAAATTGTTTTTACAAGAGTTTTATTTTTTACATCTCCAATTTCACGAGTAGTTCGGTTTTGTTTATGATAAACTAGAATGTATCTTTTTTTCCTTGCAATATAACTAAAAATAAAACTGATGTGACTGCTGAAAACATTGTTCAACCATCTTTCTAAGCTCCTAATCAATAAGATACAATAAGAAATGATGGTTAAAATAATAGAACGGTTTCAGAAAATTTTTTAAAATATGATTCAAAATTTTATAAATGGAATATATTAAGAGTGAAAGACGTTTGTCTTTCTTTTTAAACAATAGTTTAAAAATTTAAAATTACAATTTCAAATTTATTTTGTTTTATTTCTGACATAAAATAAAATATAGCACAGTAATATATATAAAAAAATATATTAAGGTCGTATTTGTGATTTTTCACATATATAACTTGTAAATATTCCTGTAAACATCTATATATAGTCTATGGACACGTTGTATAAAGTTATCAGATATAGTAGTAACATCAACACTTGTTAGCATTCATGCAATGTTACATAAGATATAAATAGAACACCAATTTGTGTTGGTGTTAGAATTCAGCACAAAGACTACCTATTACATTAACTCTAGTCACGTCCCATTGATTGATAGGGTCTTGGGTATAGTGGACGATTTTGCAGTAATAGTCATCGAAATTCTAGCTTACAGACCAAATCTCCAAACTAAGCATTGTTCTCCAACAAAATATAAAGGTATTTCTTTTATTGTCCTAAAATGTATGGAATGTCTCCGATATTTAAATAGCAACAGTACAATTTTTCTACGCTAATCGAGCTACAGTATAATTATCATAATGCTTGCTACTACATAATTATTTTCCTCGTTAGTTTAATAGAAATGATAATGTGTACTACAGCTAAAAACTTGAGAGGTATTTCCACGAAGGAATATTCCATAATTATTTGTTTTTAATGATTTTTTTAATGTTTTTATTAAGGATGATATCATTTTTTTTGTTTAAAAATTGCAAATTGTGGTTTTTGTACTGAAGTAAAAATAGCTTGTACTTATTTTAATGTTTTACTGCAAATAAGTTAAGTTATTTTTTGCTATTTTTGTTTAAATTTTTATACGCTGTATATAAAAATATTTGTAAGGATTTGTAATGATATTCTGGGATGTTTCAGATAATTTTTTACAATATATATATATATATATATAGCAAATTTAGATGCTTAACTAAATGATGCTCATTTTCCCCTTTTCTAACAGAAAAAAACGTATATATGTGTCTTCAGAAATATAGATTTCTTTTTTTATGTGATAAAAATGTCAATCTAAAAAATATTTTAATACAAATTTTAAGATTTTCCTACATTTTGCAATAAACGTCATCATTTATATAAAAAAATATACAAATAAAACATTAAATTAAACGCCTACATATTTAATATTCTATAATTAAATTATCTTTTTGACATTAACTGTTTTTTTAATTTTAAAAATTATTTGATTAATCAAAAAACATTTTTTCCAAATTATTATTTAAACTAAACAATTATAAGTAATTTATGTAAATTTTTCATGGATGGTATGTTTAATTAATCATATTTTTCTTAATGTAAAGAACATAAATAAAGGCATTATCTCCTATTCATCAAACAAACCATTTCTTAATTGGTATAAAAGTGGGAAGTTTGCCAAGAGCAATGGCTGAACAGGTGGCGTGAAAATGGGAACCAAATCTTTCACAGTATGAAGAACACGCCAGGATGAACACAATAAACTGTCACTAGAAACTGTAGATAGGTGATTCGAACAAAGTGTTGCACAAAATCGTTTTTTTTTTATTTTTTAGTTTGTTTTCTTTATTTTGTAATCTTGACTCTCAGTTGACATTCGATGATATTTTATTGAAAGATGTCTTTTTAAATATATTTTTAAAAACTTAATAAAATTCTGAAATAAATAGTCGTTTATTTGATTTATACGTCTCCATTATATTAATATAATATATATAATTTGTATTTAAATTATCGAATACAAAGAACTATATATTTATTTGTATTCAATATAAATCAAGTGGAAAAGATAATTTTAAATATTTTTATAAATTTTGACATTTTATATTCATTTTTTTCGGTTTTTAGATTTGATAAATTAAATATATTTTTATAAATATATCACTTACATTACTATGAAAGATGTATTATATTATTTAATAATTATAGTATTTTTAGGATGATAAATAGCTGATACTTTACTTTTTACAAAAATAGCATTACGCAGAAACATATAATAGATTAAAAGAATATGTTGCTTAAGGTTTTAATAGAATAACATCACATATTTACTGAAGAAGTTCTGTATAGTTCATTTATTATAACAGCCACTATCATTGAAGAAGAAAGATTGTCTTGTATTGATTTTTCCTTATGATATAATTTCTGTATATCCACGATAGTGTTTAAAGCCTCTAGCTTTACCTCATTTGTAGAATGGCTAAGAAGATACCGAGGCTTCCTTGCAGTATCTAAAAACATATCTGGTCACTTCTTGACAGTTTCTAGCAAATTGTATACTTGACGTTGGAAGTGTCAACTTATTATGGCAATATGTGCAATACTTCCAAGTGCAGAAAAAAAGGAATTTCATTTTTATTTTATTTTATTTACAACTTTTATTTTCTGATGTTCACTGAAGCAAATAAAAAATAAAAGTTTAAAATCTTTCTTTAAAATTAATTTAAGACATTTAAAATGGTATAAATTAATTAAGTCGAATTAAAGAATTATCGAACCACGAAATTGGTATTTATCTCTTTATATAATTATTTTTTTTAAATTACAAAGAATAGTAAATGCTCTAATACATTTTAATTTATAATAGTTATTTAAATAAATAATGGCAACTAAAAATAGTTGTGTAAATAATTTATTACATTGTTTGGCCGTTTTATTTTCTGTATAAAGATTTTTATGTAGGTAAACAAAACATTTTCATAGTTCTTTTCATAATAGTTAATTGTAGATACTTGTAATTTCATTTGTTAAATTTAAACAACTGAAAAGAAATTAACTTTATATTTTTAACGATAAAAAAGATAAATTTTAATTACAAATTAAAATATGCATATTAAATTTCTTTATTAAGTTTTTTTTTGTTTATTGAATAAGGAAACTATAAAATTTCCCAATTTTATTATTAAATATATCGAATTTTTATTATAAATTTTCTTATTAAAAATATAATTATTATTTTCAATGAATTTTCATATTTAATGAAGCTATTGTTAAAGTTTTCTTTCGATTTAATTACAGAGCAGCCCCCTTCTTTCATTCGAGTATTCCCAGATCAAAGACACAGAGATGGCCAGTTTGTATCATTGCAGTGTGAAGCTATAGGATCACCAATCCCTCAAATCGACTGGACTTTGGATGGTGAAAATCTTCCGGAATCAAGAAGAGTTCAATTCGGAGATTTTGTTCGAAGAGACGGTTCCATCATCAGCTATGTCAATCTGACTGAACTGAGCACTGTAGAAGGTGGATTGTATGGATGTATTGCTCACAATGACGTAGGAACTGTAAGTCATTCAGCCAGGATTGAAGTGTTTGGACCACCTTTTATTCGTCCTTTGAAGAATGTGACAGCTGTAGCTGGACAGATTGTCAAACTCCGTTGTTCCGTATCAGGATATCCCATTGATCTTGTTTACGTAGAAAAAGGTGAGAATAGTGTTATAAATTTGTCACCGATAGAAATTGACGCAGAGTTTTAATAATATTATTTTTTTATTTCTATAAATAAAAAAATATTTTATTTATTAATTAATAAATTAATTTAAAAATAGTCTTTTTTATTAAAAAAATACTTAAATTTATGTCAATATAATTTAATTTTGTCGTCTGTTTATCGATTATAATAAAAAAAAGCAAAGTGATAATTTCTACAAACTTGTTCATTGGATGGAAGACTTAAATAGTTTTGTAGGAAATTGAATTTGAAGATGCTAGGTAAATCAATATGGAAGAAAGGAATGAAGGCAGCAAAAAAAGATGTTCTTTTCAATGTTTATCAGTTTGAAGAAATAAAAATTCGTCAATTTACCAACATAAAGAATGATGTTGAAATTTTATTTTCTTCTGTACTACAAAATTGATTTTCGGTGATTATTATCAATTGATTAAAATGATTTTTCTCAACATATTTCAATAAAAATTTTATAAAAGAAATAATATGTTTAATTAAAAATAAATCATAACATCGTATCATATTTTTATATATTTTAAAAATTAATATAAATCCAAACATTTCTTTTAAAATGGCAGAGTTCACTTCAACTGTAAAAGAAAAACTATATTAAATAAAAAAATTTTTACTTTTCTTAAATAAAATTTTGTAATGATTTATCTTAATAATATATTACCATCGAATTAATCCATTGAATGAATCATCCAATTATTTGTTCCAAAACGTGAATAAAAATTTTAAAAAAATTGAATAATTTTATGTAGTTTTAATATTTTTATGACTCGGTGGATTACATTTTAAGTAATAATTTCCTTGATTAATGCATTACCCGCGTAAACATAGATTATTGTAAATACATTAATTTTAGTAAATGTAAATAATATTTCTCATTAAAATTATCCAAGCGTTTTTTTATAAACATATTACATTATCTTATGTAATTACCGGTATATATATATTTTTACATAAAAATATAATTATTAAAAATAATTAATTATTTTTAACTCCATATTTAATTGCTTTAATGAATTTCATCTTATGATCTTAAAGTCTTTGTTATTTCTTAATACGATACTTTTTAAGAATAAATATTTTTATATCTTAAATGATTTTAGTTTCAATTAATGCAAAAATTTAAATTTAAATGAATTGAAAAAGAATAAATCGTCGCGAATTCTAATATTATTATTTTTTTAATTTAAAATTAAATCTCTTTTTACATTTAGATCAGATATACATAGATTTTTAGTCTTTTTTTATGCTGTTTGGTAAACATTTGAAACTCAGCACTGCTCTGTTTTTCTCAAATATTTGATATGGGTTCATTTCATTTCTAAACAAACACAATTCCTTAACACACAAATAAAATACTTCAAGATGATTAATTTATTTTTAATTTTAAAATATTTGTTTTTTTATAAAATGAAAAGTTAATTTCTTTAGCAATATTTTTAAAGGATTTTAATATTTTATTCTAAATGATAATATTTTTTTATAATTTAAATTGTTCGTAAAAAATATTTTAAAATTCGAAAATTTATTATATAATACGTTTTAAAAGTTTACATTTTAATAATTATAATTAATAACGTTTGATAATTTATAATATTATATTATTTAAATAACTGAAAAGTGTTTCATTTAAAATAGAGTATTATTAGTTTGTTTATTTTCAAGTTTATAAGGTTTATTCGAAAAGTTCTATATATGTTTTCAGTTTATTTTAAAGTATCGGTTCGAAATTTTATAAAAGAAAAGGATTCAATGTTACAATTCTAACTTTCAATTTTGTCTAATAAAATTGATTTTTGTCAGTGGAAAGTTATGATAAATCTACTTACTCTGTGAACTTTAACAGATTATTATTGTAAAGGATTTTTCTGGAAGAAAATTTCTGTCTTACAACTTCGTAACAAATAATATTGACAGAAAAGGAATGCTAAAGAATAATTTTCACTATACACTACAACGTGCAGTGAAAAATCGTCTCGTTTACTCCTAAATATTAGCTTTTCCTGTCAATCTTGCGTACTTTACAAGTAAACCTCAGGGGACATAGATTTTCTAACGCCTTAAAAATTAAACTTTCTTTTAAAATAATATTTGTAAATGTAGTTAGAAAATATAAAATAGCCTTTTCTTATTATATATAATATAAAATATATTTTATCTAGACAAAATTTTAAGTATAAGTTGTGACTTGAAGATATAATGTAAAAGATGTGTCTTTATTTTACTCTGCTAAATTGTATTGTTTAGTTATGAAAGCTTTATAACATTGTAAGCTAAAGAGAGATTATATTTATTATTAAGAAAATTAGATTTATAGTAAGTAATTATATCTTACTGCTCAATTAAATAGGAAAATTTGTAGTTATAGTTAAGCAGTAATATTAGATATTATATAAAATATAGTATTTATGCTTAAAGTTTTGTTTAAATAAGAAAGCGCTCGATTTAAAAAGAAAATATTGCAATATTTCTTTTATAAAAAGTAGAAATTAAAAGGTATTAGTTAGTTTAAAGGGATAATAGGCTTTTATCCTATTACATATAAGCATTTTATATGTTTATTTTATTTGATAAACAGTGTTATTTAATTTTTTGAACCATATTATACATATGAAAAATAACTTTTTATTTTGGTAGATGAAATCGATAAATAGTTATATGTATAAAATAAAAGTAAAAATTCAATTTGATATTTTATAGTTTTATAGTTCAAAATACTTTTTGCTGGAAGTTTTAACTAGTAGTCTATCTGGCGAATTGCAATCTCTAGAGAGTATGTTGGATAGTCTTATTTAAGAGTTTGATATAGGACGCTCTTTATGGGATCTTGACATTGAATTGCTGAAAAGTCATACTGTAATTTTAAAGTTTAATCATTACAAATATACAATAATTTGTTTCGAGTAATAAAAAGCAAGTTTATTTTTTTTAATAAAACTTTTTACTTGTATGTATATTTATATACAGTTTTCATTAACTGATAAATTTGAAATAACTCTTTTTCCAATTTCTTTCATGAAATGTGAAGAACTCTAATAGTGATAAATTGCCACGATGTTGAAAGCAATTCTGATGAGGCAGTCAATCTAGATAGCTATATATTATCATTAAAAACCATCTCGACGAACTTAATCTATAACAAAATTGTAAATTTATCAATTTTAAAGATATATCCCCAATGAAAATAATAGAAAATTTTTGTTTCTAATTTCAGTCGATTTTTTATAGCAAAGTTATAGTTTGGGATTTATTTAATACTATTCAGAAAATTACTATAAAAAGTTTTCAGTAATAAAACATTCTTCGGGAAACTCTTTAGAAATCGGATCCATACTGTGTGTACTTGACTATTCTGAACTGTGTACAAAGAGATTAAGAATATCACGAAGAATGATTTGTCTGGCAAACTTCCAGGAAAAGAACAATGACGAATGTACAGTACAAATAAAATGTCTAGTCGTCCAGAGATTTATTTTAAATTATCAATGCTTTGTTATAATCTATTAAATATAAAAATAACTATTTTTTAATTTTGTTTATTTATAGAGGTAATTTCATTACAATTTTGCTTCATTCATATATTTGGCTTTGTAACTATGATTTTTTTGCATATTCTTCCTTGAAATATGTAGAAGTAAAAAAATTAAAATTACTGACTTCTTTTAATGATATATAACTTTAATATAACTGCATTAAAAACAATATAGAAAATATTTTGCAATTCCTTTTTAAACTAGGAAATAATAATAAAAATTTTTATCTGGACAATTATCAAATTTACAACATATTTTTATAAATTTATGATTTATCAAACGTTTTCACTAGTGTATATGTACATGAAATTTGTATTCTCTGTAATAATATATATAATAATAACCATACAACTCCATTAGTAACTATAATATAACTACATAGCTATATGATAGTTATTAATACAGTTATATATATATATATTACTACATAAAATAATGTGATGTAATATAAACATATATTATAAATATATAATGTAAGTTTTATAATGTTATATGTATATATATATTATTAAAATTTTAGAAGTCGAAAACTAATTTTTGAACTGAAGTTTTTTAATAATTGATTTATAGCAGCTTCTCTAATTGTTATTTCTAAAATTAATTAAAATTTCCAAGTTGGAATTTTTTAATACAAATATTTCCGTAAATTAAATATGTTTTTGATTATTTAACATTGTGAAATAACGTCAAACAAAAATCAATTATGCAACCGAAAATTGAATTTTGGAGAACTGAAATTTTATTTTACTTATAAAATTTGTAAAATATTTTTTAAAAAGAAAAATATGTTTGCATTCGACGCTAAGCTAATTGTCAAGCAAAGGACGTGAGAAATACATCCCTTGAATAAGAAATGAAGATAATGACTAAGAGCTGTGATCAAAACGTGAGTTAGAAACAATTGAAGGTATCAACTCGGCTATATAATGATTAAAATGCATCTAGTTGAAATTAATCTATAGAAATCAAACGTAATTAGTATTCTAATGAGTGTTTTTACATAGTGATTATGAGAAAACATTTTAAAATACTTGTTTAATGATAAAAATATCAATAATAGAAAAAAAAACACACAAAAGAATTTTTATAAATGGTTTATTTTATTTATAGGAAAACCTATTAAAAGTTACTTCCTTCAAAAATCACTATACAATTTCTTAGTAATATCAAAAGTTAAGATTTTAAGAAACAATATAGATACAAAGTAGAATGCAAATATATAATCTGGCATTCATCCAATATGTTTGAGAAAATTTCGGTCGGATGGAATGCATATCTCTATACAAAACAGACTATCCAACAAACTACAGAAATAATCGATTGGATGAAGCATGTGCAAGGAATAATTCCATCTATTAATTTATTTTATGAAGATAAACAAAATTGGATCGCATTTGAAAATCTGTAACTTTTCTTAAAGTTACTTTTTATTTAATTTGTTTATATTTTTATTCTAGTTTTGCTCTTTGTTCAATGTTTAACACAACACTTTGGAATATATATATTATTAAACAAGGCTATCTAGTCTGATATAAAATGAGGATTAGTTTTATTTAAATTCTTTGATAAGATTACGCATATTTGATGTAAATTCATAGAAATCACATCCCAAAATTAAATTTTTGACATATCCAATTTTAAAGACATGATATGTAAACTATAAAACAGTGTATAATATGAATATTTTATATGTTTGTCTGGCTGTGTTATATATTTTAAACTTTGTAAGTTTCAAATGCTGAGGGCGTCAATAAATTGTTTCATTTGCTTCATACACAATGCATTTTTTACAATGCTTAATCTTCTTTAAGATGGTCGGAGATTACCGATCGGGGATCGACAGGCTCAGGAGCAAAGAGGACTAATAACATTACACAACGTTCGAAAAGACGATGAAGGAGTTTATAAATGTGTTGCACTTAATAACAGAGGAGAAAAGGCAGAACGGAGTTTCGTATTGCAGGTTGTAAGTAAGTACATTTTACATTAAAATCTATTAATTTTTAAATCGATACTTTCATTTTCTTCAATAATGCTTAATCAATAATTGTTATAGACTACTTCAATATTATTTCCTGAAATTATATTTTTGAAAATGTTATTGAAAATAATTTTATTCTGTGTCTATACTATATAAATATTCATTAGTTAATACCTTTCTAAAAATAGGTATTTAATAATCTATAACTAGATATCTGTTTTATAATTTAATTATATCTAATTAAATTTAAACTCGATGATGCAGAAACTATAAAGATACATTAAATATGGTATTTAATTTCGAAAATCTCATTATAACTTTTCTAAATCTTGTCATAATTTAATTCTCTTGCAATAACTGTTATAGCAAATGACTACTTAAAATTTATCAATAAATAATTTTAATACGTCTGTTTTCTTTTAACAATCTTCCTATTTTTTTCTAAATCATAAAAGTTTAGTAGTAAACTTCTATAATAGGGATTTAGGCATTCGTGTCTATCTGAAACCCACGAAATTTATTACCTCTTAAATTTTTGAGTGTACCATTTTGCTTGACTGCAAGGCGAAGATCGAACATGACTTCTGTACAACATATCACAATATGCCATATTACAGTCAAAAAGCATTTCATTGAAGTACATCAATTTGCTCTTATCCTATATTTACTAATGTAACTGTATTGTACATATAAAAACTATCGGAAAACATGTAATTTTTTCCTACGTGTGCATTTGCTATCGTGACTAAAATCTGCTAGTGTAATTGCTGTACCAGAAAACAAATCTTGTATGTCACAAACTGTGATGTCGGTCATATATTTCCAGCTAAAAGTATCTACTTCTGTAGTTGCTTCGTTTCAACCCATTCACCAGAAATCACTGCATTTATATGCAAATCCACTTGGAGTGAATTTCTTCACTAGTATTTATAGCTTTACCAAACGAAAGGCACTTCTCCTCCACTTCATTTTCTGATACACGCAGCTTCAGTCACGATTTAGAATGTCACGAATGTGACGTTGTGTAGAAAAAACTGATACTTCTTTCTATTAGGAAGCTATTATTAAACTTTGCATTAAGTATAGCTATATAAAGTTTTAATTTTTATTTTATGGATTTTTTTATTTACAATTTACAAGAATATTAAGTGCATTATTCAATCGATTATGTATTGCTTTCATGATGCATTTTAATTTACTTTTAAAAAGATTTTATAAAATCAACATTGATAGAACGAAAAAAATAAGTTTTTTTTTATTTATTTAAAATATCGCCAATATTATAAAATTTATCAAGTAAGAAGAAAATTAAATTTATGGTTTATAAAAGCTGCATTATAACTCTGACAAAACAATTTTAAAAATTATCTTTTAAAAAATTTAAAAGATATTTTGTTTATAAAATGAAAAAAAAAATTTATATTTTAAAGTCAATAACTCAAAGACTTTCTTTAAAATTAACTAAAATTTTACAGAAGATTAAATAATATCGAATTTAAATATTTACATTCAAAGAATACAAATTTAAACAAAGCAAATTCTGTAAAGTAGAAATTTATGTAAATTAATTTTCGCTATACATTTAACAGTATTGTAAAGACTTCAATTTTAACTTTATCGGGAATATTGACAAAAGAAAAGTTTATAAATTTTCATTGTTTAAACTAAAACATTTGTGTTAATGTATTCTTCCACTTCAAAGATTTTATTACATTTCTCTTTAAATATACAAGTAAATATAGTCAGTTTCATTTTTCTTCCATTCTTTAACATTAAATAATAAGTTTTTGCGAATTCTTAACAAAATTAACTAACAATTTTTTAGTTTTGTTTACATATTATCTTACAAAATTAATTATGTTTTATTAGAAGCTAACCTTAACAAAATTATTACGTGTAATTTTCTACAGATATTTTGTATTTCGTGATAGAATTTGCGACTGACAGACATTCGTGACATAAGCTATAATATCATGTGAAGTTGATTGTTTGCTGTCATTACTTGGTTTCTTTGTATTGACTTGTTTGTGACTGTTAGATAACTGTAGTATCTTTCTTCTCACAGATTGATTTACTGATTGAATGTATGACTGATTGTTTATTTTTTTTATACAAAATTTGTTTTATTTTTGTTCGTTCTTTTTTTAATTTATTTGTTATCGACAATTACGAACATTAGCGATTTGTAATATCGATTTTACGTTTAAAATAATATTAACTTTTATTTTAAAAAATAACGTTAATTAAAATCAATTTATCGAATTTGTTTTCTTAGTAAAAAATCTTGGCATAAATTGCTATTGTAAAATAAAACAAATATATGTATATTTGAGATTTAAAAAAAATACATTGAAGTAGAAGTGTAGGCAAGTACCCAATAGTGTCTAGTCAAAATGTTGTTTCATCTATTTGTTTGTGCTGTAGCCCATCTAACTCTCTCCTAATTCGATTCTATGTTGACAATATGTTTGAAAAATGTATTGCTCCCGTTGAAAATTACGTTACAATTTAAAATTTCGTCAAATTTTCGATTCCCTCATTCGTTTTAATATAATCTAACAAATATTTATTTTCATTTAAAAGCTAGACTCATAACTCTAAATATAATCTAATAAACACTTTAGTTCTCTTTTAGAAGACATTGCACCATCTAGAATTTCAAATTTTTAACAATTTTTAAATCATCACATAATCTGAATGTTAAATTTATTTTTCAGAGGATGGAATTATCATTTCTCACGAAATTTTCATAAGTGCAGATGTATTTATTTATTCATAAAAATGGAAAAATGATCAGACTTTTTAGCATAATTTTTATTCTGTTCTTTCTTTAGCTGCTCCCGTAATAAGCCCGTTTTTATTTACCGATAAACTGGAGGAGGGCATGAGAAATTCTGCAGTGTGCAGCATATTGGCAGGAGATTCGCCAATTCGTATCACTTGGTTTAAAGATGGAATTCCAATTCGGGATGCCTACCCAGATATTCAAGTTGTTTCTATTACGGATTTCGTGTCTTCACTGATCATCAATACAGTGAAAAGGCATCATACAGGCAACTATACTTGCGTAGCTTCCAATGCGGCAACTTCCGTCAACTACACAGCAAGAATGGTTGTTAGAGGTATGAATACCAAATTTTCTTACTATAATAAAGTTATACTGCAGAAGTTCTTTCTTAACTTAGCACAAGTCATTTAAATAAGAAACCATAAACACTATATAAATTCTAATAGAAAGTTTTTATGGAGATAATAAATTTTCAATTGTATTTTTTGTATGTTTTTATTATTTAATTCTTTCAAATGTTAGATTATTATTAATCAAAAAAGATTTATTAATAAAAACGTTAATGACTGTTAGGTAGAAGCACCTTAATTATAAAAGTATGTAATGAAATTTGTTCATTTTAAACCGCAAATTAGTGCTTAATGTAAAGATTTTAATAGAGAATTATTAGTTTATGTTGAGTACAGTCAACTTTTAACAGCCTCTCCAAAATGGACAATTAAGCCCACAGACCAATCTGCTTTAGCTGGAATGCCAGTCACTTTTGATTGTCAAGCTGATGGTGAACCTAAACCTGTAGTTAGATGGAAATATTCTCCAGGTAATGTAAATTTGTTAATAGCAAATTAAGGCTGTCTTCGAGAATTATATATGAAGACATTTGGTTTTTAATTATATACTAATAAATTCTATTATATTTTTATATAAATTATATTTTATTATTGATTTATAATTTATAAATAATTCTTCCTAATAACAACCTTCTAAATATAAAACTTTTTTTCAAATCGATAGAATTTATTTGTAAAATAATATTCAATTTTATTCATAAATTAAATAGTTCACAGACAACATCAGAAAAGAATAAAATTAATTAGAAAATTATTATTTGCTTTTACTTGCCCTGTAGTTATTAAACTTCTATAAATAAAACTTCAATCTCATTAATCTTCTATATTTATTATAAATTAAACAACCAACTTCCGTATCTTTTTCAAAGATATTTTTTCCATTTTTAGAGATCGTTATTAAATTTTTTGAAATTTTCTTAATTATACAAGTTAAGATGTCGATAATTTTGACAGAACGATTACTAAAACACGGTCTTTACCGTGTAATGAATCGATCAAATTTATACTTTAAATGATCCATTCAGTTCTTGTAATAACAATTACTCTCTCATTAATTAAATATCATCTTCTCAATTAATCAATTAAATTATAAAATCACATTTTTTTATCCTTAAAAGCGTTATTGAAGAGAATAATATTCATGTTTTTCTATTCTTCAACAAATCAAGGAAAAAAATTGTACATTTTTTTATTACTTGTCTTCTGATTTACATGTCGGATACGTTTTTACTTTTATTCTCCTTTCTCTCTTTTTTTAAATGTAGTTTTTTTTAATATAATTTTATCTAGATTAAAATACAAGATTTAATATAATTCACCTGACGTTAATTAATGAGATTTTCAATATCTTCATTAATTCTGACAGAAAAATGTCAATTGTCTTAATTGAATTAAAGATTATTTTGAATTATTAAAAAGAAAATACACTTTAATTAACTCTTTTCGCTTCTGTATATTTAATAACAATGTAATTCCAGTCTTTACTAAATTGTTACCACTAGATAAAAAACAATATAAAATAGTTTTAAAGAAGTTAATAATTATAATTATAAAAACATTTACATTGTTTTTTAATAAAAATATTTCTTGTAAAAATATTTTAAAAACTAAGATTCTTAAGCTTAAAAACTTTTTACAGTTTTCTGTAAAAATATATGTTTATTTTTCTGAAAAGACTATACTGTATTCTTAACTAAGCAATTGTAAAATGCTCTAAACACATCTTTACAAGCAAAATTAATTTTTTAATTAAATCTCATTTTATTTAAAAAAAATTTAAATCACTTATGATGATGAAATTAATTTTTTATTAAAATATTTTATGTTTAAATTAACTTTTTTCATCAAATATAAAAAACTGTTATAACTTTTATTACACAACGTAATTACTTTTACATGTACATGACAAATAAAAAAAATCTATATTGTTAATAGTTTAAAACAATAATTAATTATTTTATTATTTATAGTTTTAAATTTTCTAATTTAAATTTTTATTTTTTTATTTAATTCATAATAACGTATTTTTATATTAAAGAAATTTATTATCTAAAGAGTTTTTGATAGACAATGAAATAGTTATAAATTTTGATGCAGATGATAGTATTTTTATTAAATTCTTTTATAGCCACGCTTTTACGACAAACATTAATAGTAATTAATACGAACTTAACGATTAAACTTGTGGATTAAAAGCCATTTTAATAATTGAAATAATTATCATAATCAATAAACAGCGTAATACATTAGATATAATTTTTATTAATTCATGACTTTTAGTAAATTATCATATTTAGATTTTAGTCTCCTATGTATTTTCTTAGTATTTTATTTCGCATTTCGATTTAAACAAATGGAATAAAGTTTGTAAACTTCGTTAAATAATTGACAATTTAAAATAGATATTCCATTCTATCTCTGGATAGAAATTACTTATTATGTGGAAATGTATATAATTTCCATCTTAAAAGCATGATGAGTTAGACTTTATTCAAACTGCAATTACTGCAATTCTGTTCTAATCATTCCATCTTCAGTAACGGTAACATACCCCTCCTATTGTAAACACTCGTAGGATTTAGTCGTCAGAAATGTTTCAGCTTGTAACTAACTCAATGTTTAAAATTAATTGCTTGATACTGTGAACATAGGCCGAATCTAACAGAACATACAGTGCTCTTTGTATCATTATTCATCTCATCCGTCTCTCATCCTCAGTTTGTACGAAAGATATCGTGTAATCATTCTGAGCTAACGAGACTTACTATAGTTCTCTTTTCACCATATTTTCAGTTAATTCCTGGATATATATTATTGTTCCAGAATAAATACGAATCAACAGATATCTAATACAAACAAATAATTCTCCTGGGATATAAATGATATTTTAAATTAAATTTACCATTTAATGCTGCTCTTGATATCAGTAATTTGCATTCCATTAGTATAGTGGAACGATAATGATACACATTTCGTTTAAACTCGTGCATTATTTTTATTTTTTTAGACAGTCGTGAGCCCCAGAAGAGAATAAACTTTTGAAATATTTATGTGATGAGTCGGTAAAACATTAATCTTACTCCATAATTTTAATAATGTTTTTTTTCTGCTCTGGGTATAAAAACCCGGCTATTTTATTTTTTATAAGAAGACAAATGATGTAAAAAGTATATAATTCTCATCAAATTTTAATTTTATTCTTTTATTCTTCAATGTAATTTAAACCTATTGTAGCATCACTTATCTGTCATATATGATAATTATCAAACTGTAATTATGGTTGGAACTTTAAGCTTTAATTACTGTTATCAGAGTTAAAAAAGTTCTTAATCTTGTTAGATGTATAAAATTTAAAACGTGATCTTAAAATATTCATTATCATTTATCTCTTGCTATAAAAATGGATATTATCAGTTGTCATTATTTTCTGGCGTGAGATTATTAAGTTTAATTCTAACCAATGTTTTTTTATGTTTAGTAATTGGATTACATTTTTTCCCTAAATTCTACCTTTTTTCTAATCTTTAAAAAAGTTTTTAAAGATAATTAAAAAGTGGAAAATGTTGTGAATTTTCGAGTAATTGCATTTTATAACTGTAGAATTTTATTTTATTATGATTCTTAAAATTTTATTATAAAATCATATGACTAATAGGAAAGAATACTATAACAGATAAAATAATCCTGTAAGATCAAGATATTAGTTTATTCATTTTACCAAATCCATTTTTATTTCGACTATCAAATTTTTTAAAGTAATAAATGCTTGATGCTTTTTTAAGAAAAAGTTTTTTGTAGCAATAACTCCATTACATTAAACTATTACAGTATATTATGACTAAATAATTTAGACATTAAATGATCTTACTTTGATAAATACGAAGATGGGGGTCAAATTTTGGACAAAAGCCAATCTCCCTCCAGGAAAAGATAGTAGCAGATTGTGACAAACAACAGGATTTTGTTATAATTTATTCAAACGCCTTATTCTCTGCAATAAATTTACTACAATAATTCAAACTGACCAGAAAATTTGGCAGATTTTTCTCTTCCGAAATTGCTTTAATGGTTTATTTTTAGAAAAGATTAATCAAATAAAAGGAATTTGATTGCAAATTTTTATATTAAACATTTCAATAATATAATTTTTCGATATTATTTAATAAATTTTTATTCTAATTTATTACATGAATTACTCTGTGATAAATAATTGTACCTCGTTCTAACTTAAGATTACCGTATATGTTCGATGTTAAGAATTGCTGAAGACTTTTGTTAGGAATGTAGGTCAGAAATGCTGTACAGTTGTTGGTAATGGCTGTGATTTTTATTGTAACGATCTACAGACTGTTGTTCGAACTATTTGTGGCGACTCTAATAAAATGAAAATCGTTCCAATTTTCTTTTCTTAAATTTAAATATAGAATTCGTCCTCTTTTATATTTACATGCGATAGTTAAAAAATTCTTTCACTTAACTTTGCCAAACAGAAAAATTCAATTTCGAATTTTATAAAGAATTCACGAATATACTATTTATTATATCATAAATATAAACAATTTACTTAAATAATTTAACAGGTTTCCTTACAAAATTGATAAACAAGAGGAAAATTTTGTAAGTAAAACTCATTACTCTATCTTCAGAAAAAGTTTAAATTTCCATTAAAATTTTTCAAAACACAAGAAACTTACGTTAGACTTTTATGTTTAAATATATTTGAACAAATTAGTAACTCATGAAGCTCATTAAAATATTTTGATTGGAACAATGAGTTTGGTTTTTTTTTAATTTTATATATTGAATTTTTTTTTTATTTTTGCGAAAATCGATTTCTTTTTCAACTAATGAATCCATTGATATGTAAATTAAGTAATTTTATATATAACTTAATTTTTAATTACAATTTTTAATTACATTGGTTTAAATGCTAGTCATCAAGAAACTTTTAAGAAATTTTAACATCCTTTACATACTTTATACTTAATTTGCAATTTTAATTTAAATTCATTGCTTAAATATATTATAAATATCAATACAATAAAGATTTTTATTACATTTTTGTTTTGTTATTAGATATATTAATTCGAAAATTAATCTAATGAATTAATTTATAAGATAAACTAGAGAAAATTACAAAAAAAAAGCAATTAAAGTTTAGTTAATGAACTTTTCTTTAATTCGAAAAATATTTCTTTCATGAGTATGCATAACGCTCTCATCAGTTTTTCTAGATGACGTATATTCTGTAGAACCAACTCGTTCTTAAATTATTAATCCATCCATCAATCGTAAATTCAACAAAATATTCATTATCATGTTTTAATTAACCTATAACTCACGATTTCATCATACTTCATATCTTATAACCAATTATGGAATCAACCGAAATATTCATTTTTTTACAATAAAATTCAAATTATCCAGAGAAAATTCATGAAGATCTGCTCTCGTAGTGATAAAAATAAAA